TTAATAATTAACATTTTAATATTTAAAAAATTCCATCCAAATAGCAAAAAATTATTCTTTTTTTAACCTGTGACTTTTGTACTTAGAACTTTTTCTTTACTTAAAACAATACATTTTCAAACTACATTGCAAATTTAAAATTGAAAACAAGGACGTTCATTTCAGTTGACTGTACAGAATTTTTTTCCTTACCAATTAAGCAAGACAATTATTATAAAAGTACTTACATCAAGCTAAACTTAATCATTTATGAAAAANCATTTCAGTTGACTGTACAGAATTTTTTTCCTTACCAATTAAGCAAGACTATTATTATAAAAGTACTTACATCAAGCTAAACTTAATCATTTATGAAAAAAAATTATTTTCAAAGACTTGTAAAAATTTTTATAAAATGCACTGTACATAATTTCATTTGAATTTATGTATTCGTATCCAAAATAGAAAGGTTTTGTTGAATATATGAACATACTTTTAAAAGGCATGAAAATGAACATTATACTTTACTATTTATTTACATTTGCTGTATTTTTTATAGATTATTGTATTATCAGTTGTATTAGCTATAACTTTGCAAACTTGCTATGCAAATCCTCAAAATCAAGGATCACAGCCATCACAATTTCCAGGTGGACAATTTCCTGGAGGTCAGTACCCTGGAGGACAATTTCCAGGTGGACTTTTTCCAGGTGGACAGTTTTCTAGTGGACAGTTTCCTTCTGGAGGACAACAGCCAAGCAATAATGGACGTTAAAAATAAAATAAAATATTTTAAATTAGTATACTTAATTTTTTTATTTCTTTAATTTAAATAATTTGAATATTCATAACTATTATTATTACACTTTGTGTTATTAAAAAAAATTACAATAAAATAATTATCATTCCTTATTTATGCAGTTATTTATTTAATAATAACATATAATATAATATATATTATTAAGTACACATGAATAGTTAAAGTGGTAAGTTCAGTAGACAAATATACATGATTAATTATAACAGAATGCTGTGTGGAGATCAGCTCTTATTGGATAGGATTTAAGAGTAAGTAGGAGTAAGACAGAGTATATAGAATACGAGTTTGACAAAGGAGAACCGAAGTAGGTTCACAAATATTACAATAATTATTGTGGCCATATACAATTTAATTATATTTTGCATCATCCCCAATGATACTGAATTCATTCTATCATCACCCAACGCATCAATTACTATCACGATTGATACTTACCGGCTACGTTATTAATTAGCTGGACACTTACAACGTATCGCATAGATTTTAAGGCTAGTTCAGTTAGAAAAAAGATCTTGTATACCTAACAATTTTGTTCTTAAAAAAATAATTTTGTCAAACTGTTTAATAGTTTAGCCCAAAGGAGAGAAATGGTATTCTTTCTAGTCCATTTTTATTAAACATAATAAGATCTGTCAGTAGACGCACAATATATTGTACGTAGCATTAATTTATTAAAACATTAATAAGTATAATAAGTACTTGTATGAAAATAATGGCTGCCATTATATTTTTTCAATATTTATTGGAACCTTGGGCCAGCTATTTAGAAAACATGTAATTTTTAAAATAGAGTAAACTTTACTTTAAACTTATACGCAAATATTATGGAAATTAATTTTGTTAAATACTTTCATGTCTTTAAAATGTTTATTTTATAAACAGAAAAAAATTATAATCATCTGTTTTTAATATGAAGATATTTAAGCAAAAGCATTCATTTTTTTAAATACGATATAGCTTATAACTCTTTTATCTCAAGTTTATAATTAAATTAATTTTAAATTTAAGATTTGAACTAGTTCATCTGTTTATTCCCATAAAGGAAAATGTTATATTTCTTATTGTTATTGTCATTATTTAAATAATAGCGAAAATGTAAATGCAAAATATATAAATGAAAATTTTTTAATTTTGAATTGAAAAGCTTACTTAAAATAATAATTAAAAACCCAAATATTTTAATAGAAATGTAAATATTTATTTTTGTGCTTGTAACTTTCTTTTTGCGTAATTAAATGGTTTATCATTGACCATGAAATCTCCTTAAATAATAATGTTGATAATGTTTTTTTTTTGTTTTCTTAAGTAGTCTAAGTTAAGTTTAATAATGGATTTTTTAGTGGGCCAAGATCCCAATTAATTAAATATAAATAAAATAATTGAAAATAAATTAAATTGTTCTTTTTTTAAATATTTCTATATCCACCCTTATATTAAGTTCATTGTAATGATTTACGTTCTTAATTATTTTTGAAGTTTTAAAAGATTGATTATGTGTCAATAAATGTTCAGCCACAGGAGATTTATCAAATTCTTCATTTTATTTTTAATGTTTTTTTAAGTGTTCTTTAAGTATGCCCCTATATTTCTTTTTATTTGTCCTACGTAACATTTATTACAGCTTTCACATTTTATTTTATAAATGCCCGATTTCCCCCCTTCTTCTATTTTATCTTTAGAGTTACCTAATAAATCTCTTAAATTATTACTTTTAGATGTTACTAAAATAATACCAAAATTCTTAAAAATTCTAGCTAATGCATTTGAGATGCCTGGATAATATAAAATTGACATCTAATTACTTTTTGTTCCCCATGTTAGTGTGTGTACTTTCTTTATTCCACTTTTGTGTTCGGACTAATTAATTAAATTATGTTTTCATTATATCCATTAAATCTAGCTATTTATCTTATAACCCCCTGTTCTTTATCAGACAACTCAGTCTTGCTATGTTCGTTAATAATGATGGTTAATTATTTGAATAAACAGAACTGATTTTGTTACATTCAATACTTTAATAATAATACTTTAAAATTTAAATATAAACCACATATTACTATAAATTATATTTAATCATTTATTACATCGCGAGGAGTGTATTACTTATAAATCAACGTAAGTTTAACCATAAGTCTAAAACACGAGAGTGCTAAATAATATTACAATCCAGTCTTTATATAATCAAAAGTCTCCTTCGCCAATAATAAATATTAAAATAAAATTTCTTTAAAAGATTACGGGATAATGCGTAGACATAACAAAATAAAAAATAAAAGACAATAGAATGTCGCAAGATAATATGAATAATTAATAAGGTATTATAAATATAAAAATGGGAGGATATTACACTAATGTATTAAAAAAATTTTTACTACTCTGTTAATATATTTTTTTTTCTATAAATTGATATTTTTTTAATTATTACAATAGTGACAGTAGTAATCTAACAATAGCGTACGAATATTTTGTTTTTGAGTATTGTTGTTTTTAAGTAATACTTTTAATAAATTTTACTAAAGTGGTTTGATTTTGCTGTAATATTTTGAGAGATACGAAATTCACAAATGTCAGATATTTTTTTTAATACTAATCAATGATAATTGTTTTTTAAAATCATATGGTATTTTCATTTTTGTTTTTGCTGGATATATTTTTATTACTCGAGCAGTCATAAGTTGCAATATATATATATATATATGTTAAATCTTCGCTTTTTAAATTTATATTAGTATCATTATTTAGCTACTACTGTTCGCGCCATACGCAAACTAGTAGATATCTCGCGCTTTCTCGGTGTCCGTCCACTCACCTTCCCTTCATCTCACGACCGTTGGACGAAGTGTGAATATATTATACTATGTATTAGGTAAATTTTTATCTCTCGTACGAGTAAGTAAGAATTATGTTAACGTTGTACTAAAGTAAAATTTGTTCAAAGTTTTGATTATGTAGCTAGTCGCACTTTAGCATAAGTAATATTATATTATATGAATAGTATATTTTGGTAATTACCTTTAATGAAATTATTTAAATCGCACGGATGACGTTTGCAACTTTGGCATTTTATATTGTGTAATTATTTGTAAATTGTTCAACATTCTATTTATCGTTCCATTATGTTGTCTGATTATCTGAGGTAATAATCATATTTTTTGTTTGTTGTTCTATATTCTACACGGTTTGATTAATGAAAGTATTTAAGTCACACGGATGACAATAGTCAATTTTTAACTCAGAAATCACGCAAATAATTTTAGTGTATTAATGCATATTTGCTAAAAATCACATTGAGTGATATTGATTTATATTTATTAAAATATAAATAATTTTATGTGAACCAACGACCACATCCTTTTTTCAAAATAAATTTAAATGTACTAAAATCTTTTCTTATTAATCAGCGGGAAAGCGTGATAAAATTCCTCGCCCTTGATATTAACAACTACATATACATTATTATGCAAGTCTGCCGCGAGAAGTAATATAAAACAAATGAACGAACAGTTTATTTGGGCGTGGTGATATAGAACTCATTTATTATGTCAAATCACTTCACTTTATAAAATATAATAATATATAGTCACAAATTTGATAAGAGGTAGAATACTAAAACAGAAAATAAAAATTTAGAATTAATTCGTAGAATACTGTGAAAGTTCACAAGGTCATGATAAAAACACGACCGACCGTAACGAGATCTATTTTATTAGCCTGAGCGTCCCCCAATCAACACAATCCTGAAGATTTATTGTAAACGGACGATCATCATACGCTGTAGAATGACACTTATTATAATATTATTTATATACAACATAACATTCAGACTGTTAACATCTATATTACTTTTAAAAAAAATGTAAATCATACATATGCAAAATGACGTCTATTTAAAGAAAAATGTTTAATTTTCATTTTTATAGTAAAAAAACATATAACTGTAATTTTCCGCTAATTTGTAAAGAAAAAGAATAATTTTAAATTTCAACTATATAAAATTGTATTTGTTTTTTAATGTAGTATTCACATTTTTGATAGTAAATTTAAACACTGATGATGTCATTAAAAGAACAATTCTGTCTGTGAGTCCATGAGTTATGGAGAAATAATTTCAAATACATTAAAATTTATTAATTTTTTTTACAAAAAATATTATTTTAGAATAAATACAAAATAATTGGTATATTTCAGTATAAATTGCAAAACAACACACAGAAAATAATTCAGCTAAAATTTGAACATTTGAATAATTATTTTTTTAATTTTTGGTTTCTTAAATAGACAAATTATTGTCATGTATTTAAAAACTATACTAATCTTTTGTTCAGTATGTTTTTTTACCGACACAATGGTAAGTATTTTTTCAACAATTTATTTATTTTTCTAAAAAATATAATATATAAATAATTAAAGAGCAAAGGACTTAATGCAATCCAAATACAAGCTTTTACATTATTGCTATACAAATTTAATAAACACAGAACAGTTAATGCTTTATCAAAAAGCAATACGATTATAACGAAGAAGGTAATTTTCAGCTTCATTTTTTTAACGTTGATTATTATTTTCATATATGCATATAAAATTGTCTTATCATTTATGACAAATTTTTTTATTTCGATATCCTCGATTTGATAAATACAGTTCGACTTAAAAAAAATTATTTGTTCATCACAATAATAATCCTTTAAAACAATTACAACATTATTTTATTAATTATTATTAACTTGCTTAATTATTATTAAGACGACAGAGACTATATATGCATTAACAAAAATGGTAGCACAGTGGGGTCGCTGCACAGTATCGATGTGGCATAATTAGGACAAGTATAGATGATATATGATAGTGATTAAAATCACTATCATATGAAACACTTTAATACAAATCTGTAGATAGTGTTTAATTATAAGAAATTGGTGGATTATACCAAAATTAAAATGAATTCCTATTTCCTTCATTATTCCTGAATAGTAATTCTTTGGTTTTGAAGTATAATATATGAAAAAATAATTATTAAATAATTAAATTTAATATGAAATTGATACTTAATAATTTAGGTATTGTAATTTTTACGGAGAAATTATAAAGTAGTTATTACTTTTATGACAAACGTGTATACAAATTGATAGCTTGATACAAAACTTTTCATAAAATAATTTGTTGTTAATAAATGGTCTTTACAATGAATTTTCATCAGAGTAAAAATTATACTCTAATTGATAAATTTTTCGAGCTGATTTCAAATCTGCAATTAGATTTTTTCTATTACCACTAATTTTTGATATCATAACTAATTAGTTCTAACTATAGGATATAACTATACGGAATATAGTTCTAAATATTTCAATTATAGCATCTATTTAAAAACCAAGAGTTACATAGAAATCATTAGTATTTCTATTGAAATGATTTATTACGATATTAATACAAAAAGTATAATAAGTGATTTTAACGAAATTTTGAGGCTTTATCATAAATTTATAGTTAATAGTGATTATATGAGTTTCTGATACATATCAATCTAAACAAAACCATTTTTCAACTCTTTATAAAATTTTCTATTTAATGATATCAATTTCAAACTTGCAAATTAAACTAAAAAAACCCAGCACAGTGGGGTCGCTTCATAGTGGGGACGTTGCATAGTTGGGTCCAGTATAGATTTAATCTGACAGTGATTAAAATCACTATCATAAGAAACGCTTCAATGCAAATCTGTAGATAGTGTTTAATTCTAAAAAAATGATGGATAATTACAAGCAACATCAACTTCTATTTCCTTAATTATACCCAGATTAGTAGTTCTTTTAATTATATATTATATAATTTTTAAAATTAATTGTTTTCAAATTATTATTGTTTTTGATTTTTAATATGTTAAAATTAATCATTTTGAACCTACTTATTTTTGTCCTTTAAAGTGAATGTTTATAATAAAAAAAAAAAAATGAATTTATTACCATAACTTTTAGCTCAACTTTGCAAGTTTGAAATTTACATTATTAAATAGAAAAAAATGAAATTGTTAAGATTAATGATTAAGATTAATGCAATCAGGAAAATTTATAATTACTATTTACAGTACATTTATCAGAAAAGTTCGATTTTGTTTACATTTTTATCGTAATAGATCACTTAAATAAAAATCATAGTAATCATTTCTAATTAACTTTTGGTGATTAAAAAGATTCTACAATGGAAATATTCAGAACTTAATTATAATTGTAAAAATCTATCGTTAAATTCAGATGAAACTATAAATCATTTTTTTTTTTAATTTATGATTTATATAGCAACATGTTACAAAAAAATTTGGAATATTATAGACTGGTAGTAGCACACACAAATAGATTTAAAGAATTACTAAATACACAAAGTAAAATTATTTACTTTTGTAGTTGAATACTTTTATCATATCAAATCTAATTCGACAATAAATACTTTAAGAATATTAGAAATTAATGATTTTAATTGTTTGTATGGAAAAAGCTGGTTTAGCCAATTTTTTTTTGAATAAGGAAAATTTTTTCGAATTTTAAGAGTAATAACTTAAACTAAATACGAATTATAATCATTTGACGTATCGTTGAAAAAAGTAGGTCTAGTGAGGGTTAGCAAAATAAATCTTAGCAACAAAAAAACTACATATTAAAATAATATTAAGTTGAATATAAATTTCTTCTCACGAGAGGAGACTATAGTGATAAGATCCTTTATATTTATTGAAGTTATTATTGATTTTTAAGATTAATATGCAATCAAGAAATTTTATAATTACTATTTACAGTACACTTATCAGAAACGTTCAATTTTTTTACATTTTTATCGTAATAGATCACTTAAATAAAAACCCAGCACAGTGGGGTCGCGGCATAGTGGGGATGTTGCATAGTTGGGTCCAGTATAGATTTAATCTGACAGTGATTAAAATCACTATCATAAGAAACGCTTCGATGCAAATCAGTAGATAGTGTTTAATTCTAAGAAATTGGTGGATAATTACAAAAGCTACATTATCTGCTAGTTTCTTATTAATACCCTGATTAAGATAAAGTATGTCGAATGAAAAAGGGATTATTAAAAAATATTATTTCTCATAAAAAAATTGTGTTGATTCGTACACTTTTCAATGAGTTATAGCATTATAAAGTTAAAAATGTAACCAACCCAACCCAACATCAACTCCTATTTCCTTAATTATATCCAGATTAGTAATTATTTTAATTATATATTATATAATTTTTATAATTAATTATTTTCAAATTATTATTGATTTTTAATATGTTAAAAGTAATCATTTTGAACCTACTTCTTTTTGTTCTTTAAAGTGAAAGTTTTAATAAAAAAAAAATGAATTTATTACCATAACTTTTAACTCAACTTGCAAGTTTGAAATAAATATTATTAAATAGAAAAAAATGAAATTGGTAGATTATTTCAAAAACAACAATAACACTTATTCCCTTAATTTTACCCCGATTTATAACTATAATATATGAATACATAATAATTACAGTAATTAAATTGAGTATGAAAGTGGTATTCAATAATATAATATTGTAATTTTTACGGAGATATTATAAAAATAAAAAGGAGTTGTATATTCATATACTTTTAATGCGTATACAAATTTAAAGGAATTTATGCAATACTTTTTAATAAAAAAATTTTGTTACTTATGAATAAATACACTAAACAAAAGGAACTTTCATCAGAAAAAAAATATACTTTTCTAAATAAACTTTTCGTGATGTTTTCAAATGTGCAATTAAACTTTTTCTATTACTTCTAAGTTTTAATATTATTACTTATTATTAAAAAATAAGTATTTACATATAAAAAAAAATAATTAAGAACAAAAAAAATTGTATTAAATTAATACTGATTTTGATTTTTAATATGTTAAAGGTAATCATTTTGAACCTATTTTTTATTGTCTTTTAAAGTGAAAGTTTTAATGAAAAATACCTTCTCAGCTTCGCATCGAAGCTAAAAAATGAATTTGTTACCATAACTTATAGTTCAACTTGCAAGTTTGAAATTGACATTATTAAATTGAAAAAAATGAAATTTTTAAGATTAATATGCAATCTGGAAATTTTATAATTACTAATTACAGTACATTTGTCAGAAAAATTCGATTTTTTTACATTTTTATCGTAATAGATAACTGAAATAGAAAGAATAGTAATCATATCCTAATAACTTTTGGTGTTTAAAAAAATTCTGCAATTGAAATATTCAGAACTTAATTAATTTTAATAATTTACTTTAATTAAATGAACCAATCAAACCAAAGTAGTTAAAAAGATTTACTCAATTGAGCATATTATCAAAAATATAATTATAATTGTAAAACTCCATCGTTAACTTCAGGTGAAACTAAAAATCATTTTTTTTTTAAATTTATGATTTATATAGCAAAATATTACTAAAAAATTTGGCATATTATAGACTGGTAGTAGCACACAGAAATAGAGTTAAAAAATTAATAAATTATAAAGTAAAATTATTTACTTTTGTAGTTGAATACTTTTATCATATCAAATTTAATTCGACAATAAATAATTTAAGAATATTAAAAATTAATGATTTTAATTGTTTGTATGGACAAATCTAGTTAAGCTACTTTTTATTTGAATAAGGAATATTTTTTTGATTTTTAAGAGTAATAACTTAAACTAATCATTAACTTAAATATCATAAACTTAAATGAATCATTTGACGTATCGTTGAAAAAAGTAGGTCTAGTGAGGGTTGGCAAAATAAATCGTAGCCAGAAAAAGAACCACATAGTAAAATAATATTAACATGAATATCAATTTCTTCTCACGAGGGGAGACTATAGTGATAAGATCCTTTATATTTATTGAAATTATTGAATCTAAATGAGATAAATATCAAATGATTTGAAAATTCTATTCTAACTCAAAAAAAAAATGCAAAATTTTAGAAGCCACAAACGGATTTGAACCTCGTACCCTAGGCGTTAAAGATCAAGGTGTTACCCATTCGGCAACTATTCGTTGATTTTTGTTGCATGATAAAATTGGCTATTTAAGCTAACTCAAATTTAAAAATTACTTTTTCGACTTTAAAAAAGTAAAAAATGTTAATAAGTATAATATCATATGTCTTATGAACTTTATTCTATGTCAATGAAATTATATAATATTCATGAAAGTCAGTTTATTCCCCTAATAAAATATTTTAAAATAAAATAAAATACAAAACCTAGAATTTTAATAAAAAATAGCATATTTTTAAATACGGTAGCCTTTTGCGCATAGAAGATAGGTCGTCGGGACAAATTTTTTTTTTTCATTTAGTAGTACATAAAATAAGCTTTAATTTGATATATGTTTAAAGGACGCAGTATTTCCGGAACATTTTCAAAAATTAAGTTGAAAAAGTTAGTTTTTGTAAAAAAGTTGCTATTTTAAATCCCCCCTGTGAGCAGAATAAGTGTTAGATTTTCAAAAAAAAATGATATCAAATGAAAGAAAATTACCTAAGGTTTCAAT